CAGGGGGCTGGCCGCCGTCATGTTGGCCGCCGTGCTCATGGCGGGCATGCCCATGTAGGTGTTCATGGTGTTCATGCCCAGCCCGGCATTCATGTTGCTCACTGAAGAATAGCTCTGCAAGGACAAGGGGGGAGGAGAAGGGAGAGTTGGGGGGGATGATTAACGTTGACTTCTATTCAATGCATACAACATAGGCTGCTATAGCAATGCTTCTCCTCGCAGCCCAGCCAGCCCTGAAGTCACTGCCCGAGCGATATTATTCATACCGGGGAGGTGGTGGTAGGGGATTGGGGGGGGGGGGGGGGGTTTCGGTTTTTGTTTTGTGTGTGCCTTTCGCTTTGTGCTTGCTGCTCTGCGTGAGCAGGAATTGGGAGAGAAATGAAGGTTCAACTAGGAGCTCCTAGGATAGAGCCGGGTCGCCTCTTGGGAAGGAGCTTGCCGGCTCCGTATTTACTTGGCAAGGGTTTGCTGGGGGGGAGGAAGTGGAGGAACTATATATCTATATCTATCTATATATCCGTCTTTAACTAAATATATCTATTTATAGATCTAGATATAACTATCTACAGATTTATAGATAGATATATCTATATCGATATCTCTCTATATAGATCTATACCTATGGATAGCTATATCTATACATCGCTACAATTAACTTAAAGTGAAAGTTATATAAATATATCTATATATCTATCTTTAACTCAATATAGATATGAAATTTAACTATATATTTAAAGATATATAAATATATCTATATATGATTTAACTATACATGCATCTAATTTAACTATATATATATTTCTAAGCTATACATATATAATCATAGTCTGTGAAATGTACAGTTATTGGTACAGTATGTACCATATATATATATATAGAGAGAGAGAGAGAGATGGATATAGATATAGATATATCTATCTATCTCGTAGATACTGTACCTATAGCTGTACATTTCATAGACTATGCATATATATGCGCGCAGGGTCCTTTCATTTCCAGGGGCTGAGCAATCAACCTGCTGCTACCATTTTTAATGATCATATGTATATTATATATATGATCATTAAATTAATATAATAATTATATTTCAGTAATATATGTGTGCGTATTTATATATAGTATATATATAAATACACACACACACATATACACACACACATTATATATATGTGTGTGTGTGTGTGTGTGATCATTAAAAATGGTTGGCAGCAGGTTGAATGCTCAGCCCCTGGAAAGGAAACGACCCCGCGATCTGAAATCCGGGGGGCCTCCCCCCCCAAAAAAACAAGGCAGAGTCGCCGTTGCGAAAAGAGGTGGGCAAGCCAAGCCGGAGGCTGCCCGCTGGCTTCGTGCTGCCCTGGGCTTGCTGGGTCGCTCAGAGCGCGGCTGGATGAAGCCCCCCGGCGCCCGATCGCGTTGCTTCTCATCTTGGGACTCTTCCTAAAATGAGATTTAAAGCAATACAACCCCCCACCCCCCTACACACACACACACACACACACACACACACACCTCTATCCTTCAAGCCCCCCTCCCTCTCGGAACTGCCACCCCCTCCCCAACAGGTCCCTGCCAAACACAACTTTGTTAGGATAGCGCGGCTTGGGCTGGGGAAGAGGATTTGGAGGCGCCACAAGTCAATATTTGATCGCCAAGTTAATATTATCTCAAGGCTAACACGGTGGCGTATAAAAAAAAGAGCCCCGGGTGCGCCCCGGCAAGGGCAGGCAAGGAAGGGAAGGGTGCGGGGTGCGGGGGGCGGGGGACACACGCACACACACGCGGCAGCAAGTTGCTCCTACCTCTGGTTCTCCATAGTAGTTGCTCCAATCCGAGTGCTCGTGCCCTTCCATTTTCACTGCTCCCAGCATACTGGAAGCAGAGTGCATGGCAGTTTAAAATTTAACAGCCTCCACAGGCGACGACAGAGAGAGAGAGAGCAACCAAAAAAAAAATCTCAGCCCTCCCTCCCCTCCCTGCCTCACTCCCTCTCTCTGGCTGGGCTGCTGGAGGCGGGGGAGGGGGGCAGCCCTGCCTGCCGCTGGGC